TATACATCAAGTTATGAAACGATCAGGCACGTGCATTGAACATAGCAGTGAAAGAAAAGCAGTAGCAAACTGACATAACACTAAACAATATATAAACATAGGCATGACTTGAAAAAGAGTTGCAAAATATGTTGTCTATACATCGCAGAACCGGAACTGGAACAGGAACAGGAATCTGTCGGGCAACACGCACGTATAGATTTCTGATGAAAATGAAAACCCTTCACTTAAATTTCATTGCATTCAATTTGAATTTATTTCTAATTCCATCAATGCAATGCAATTTAATTAAACTCAATTAAAATGAAATCCAAATATGAATGCATTTTTAATCATAGTTCAATTAAACTGTATCTACTTTAAATATAATTTCAATGAAATTCAACAACAATGGTGGCTTGTTTGGGCCGTTCACTGTTTTTCAAGAATTTACACATGGTGTAAATATTTACACCGCAGAGAAAATTATTCTCACCGCGGTTTGAATAATTCCACCGCGGAGAATAATATTCTCACCGCGGAGAAAAATATTTTCACTGCGGTTAAATATTCTCACTGAGGTGTAAATTAAAGTGAAATTGTCGGAAATTAGAAATGAAGCCGAAAAATACAGGTGAATGGCCCTAACAAGCCACCATAGACTTCAATAATAATTTTCCAGTGATACATTTTGGTTCCATGTTTTATAATAGACAGCCTGCAAAAGTCAACAAGTTATGCAAAATAGAATTGAAACAAAAACAAAAAAAATGAATGTATAATGAACATTTCCGAATTGTTTAAATGAAGTAATAATATAATAGTTTTAAATCGTATAATGTAGACTGCTTGGCATTTGAGTCTGGGGAACACAGTGTGATGTATTAGAACGATGTTTGAAGGCTTTTTTTTTTTTCAAAATGGCTGCCTAGCTAGAAATTCTTCTCTGAAACTTTCTGAGTAATGCACATGATTATGATATTATAGACAAAATGATATGAATTAGTAGAATGATAATAAACTCTCTAAATCTTGATTTGAGAATGATGGAACAAATGAAATAATCACTCATCAAATGAGTGAAGATGAATATTCATCTCCGTGACACTAAGATGTCAATACAGACATTCCCTTGTTTCTCATATATGACGTTATTAAAATTACAGGCTAAACTAGGATAAACTACAATACGGCAGTCATGAGTACACAACCCCATTAAGGCAGTCCATCAATGACCCCCATTTTGAGAACACCACAATATACTTAATTGAAATGAATGCTGATGTTTGCGTTTGAAGAAAATTGACATAAATACCTGTACTACAATATAATGTACAGAGAACGATCACACAGAAATGTACATACATGTTCTCTTCACACACAAAAAAAAAGGATTTAAAAAAATATGCATTTAAAAAGCTATGTGAAATATACAAATCACTTAACTAGTAATGGGTTTATATTACATACAAGTAACATAATGTCAGCCAACAACTTTACTTGTCAGTAATTTTTTGGTGGCACGACCGGCTATTATTTGAATATATCCACATTATAGATAGTAAACAGAGAATGAATGATGTTAAGGGCCATGCTTTATTTTAAGCGAGAGGAATTATCATCCACGCATGCGACAGATGGTCATAGCTTGTTGTTCAGCGAACAAGCGTCTACCCATGAGCTTTTGTGTTTTTACCTCGAGTTGTCGTCTTTTACGCTTCAATTCCAGCATGTACGCAGATAATGACCCCTCTGCTTTGACAAATGAATCAAAATATTCATGTAAATAACAAAGCCAAAAAATCAACATTTTAAAATAACTAAAAAAAAACAAGCTTATATATGCAAAATGCAGCATTCTGGTAGAAAAATAATCTCATGCTTCCCTGATATATGAAATATAATATGATATATTCACAAAATGGCTGCTGCTCTGAAGCATAAACAAAAATGACATGTTTCCATGAAAACAAGTGTGTTTACGATTTTTTTTTTTTTTATGTTTTTCTTCCCACAACGAAGATTTAATTAGTACAATCGTCAAATTCTGAATATATTTAGAAAAGTCAGTTTCAGCATTTGTCAATGATATGATCTTATTCACGACAGTCTTTGGCATTCCCACTTTGCAAATTTATTCCTCAGACAATAATCCCACAATGCAACTGTAGAAAACAAAGCCTTCTAACTCAGTGTTTATAAATCCAGTTTATATTTGCAAGCCAATTTTGTTTTTAATCTCGTTAATTTCCCATATATATAGAAATGGTACCACATAAATTTGCAAAGTGGTAATGTGACACTAAGAAAGAAGCCTGTAATATGAAACTGCATTTTGTTGTGAGCCAAGCTAATATTATTCAACAAATTTTATTTTAGAACAGTTCCATGAAACACAATGTTGAAGCAAAACATCTTTTTTTTTATATTTTTGTAAAACCCAGATGCTTTAAATAATTCAGGATAACAAAAAGCACAGTATCAGTTAGGATATATACATTTTTTTTTTAATTTATTGCGAAATCACTAAATTCAGTGAATTTTACCAAGTTATTCCATATGGCTATCTTGTGAAAGTTTAAAGTAGGACAATTAATTGCATGTAATTTGAAGATGGCCACAAGAGCATACAGTTTAACACTATGGGGTAAATCACAAAGTCATTGTTCCCATGGAAACAAGTTCAGGTTAACCCCCCCCCCCCAAAAAAAAATGTCAATCAATTTTATCATTTCCTTTTTAACTGTCTGCCAATCAAGAAGTGACTCTAGGATAGTACAAGATATTATGGATAACAAGAAAATTCAGATTTTTATCCTCCCCATAATGTCAATGGTACGTTCCAATTATTTCCCATTCAACAGGTAACCCAATTTATATATATATAGGGGCAGCTGTTATGCAAGTATGGGCAATTTTTAGCACTCAGTTATTTGTTATTTATTTCAAAGGTCAAAATATAAATATCTGCTTTAGTATTAAAAAACTTTTTTTTTTATTAAAAATTGTTTTGGATATACTAGATCAAAGTTGAGTTTATAGAAGACTATACAAGGTAGCGATGTTCTACAGAAAAGTTATGTCAGAAATTTTCTTTGTTCATTTTCGACGGCAGTAATCAATGCTTATGGTGTGTCTTCTAGCACATAAACAAGATAAATAATCACAAAGAAATTGGAAGACTGGCACTTTGAAATGCATTTCTGGAAAATTATCTTAATTAGAAAAACACAATTTTTTATATTGATGATGCAAATGATGACAGTTTTATTGTTCCATTATGAAGTTTCAATATCACAAACTAATGACATCATGAAGTGTCAATATCACAAACTAATGACATCATGAAGTGTCAATATCACAAACTGATGACATCATGAAGTGTCAATATCACAAACTGATGACATCATGAAGTGTCAATATCACAAACTGATGACATCATGAAATGTCAATACCACAAACTGATGACATCATTAATTGCCAGTATCACAAACTAATGACATAATAAATTGCCAATATCACAAACTGACGACATCATATAGTGTCAATGGCACAAAATGATGACATCATGAAGTAACAACTACTGACATCACTCAGCAACATTGATGACATCACTTGATAAATTTATTACATCACAAAAATGACTCCTTTAATGCAAAATCAGACTCCTTTAATGCAAATTGAATTATTGTGACCATTATTATGTTAGCTGTGAAGCTACTGAGTTGGAGAGAACCAATTATTACCTACATCATATTAAGCTGCCATGTAAAAAAAATGCTAAACAAATTCAAAAAAAAGGGTAAATTCCTATATTATGTAAAAAATATCGTCAATAAGTTCTGAAATGTTAATTTGTTCATGTCAGTTTTGAGCTTCAACAGTCCAACGAGGGAAAGTATCACATCATTGATGACATCATTGAAAGCTGTATATCATCAGTGACATCACAGTATTTGATGACATCACAGTAATTGATGATGTCACAGTACTTGATGACATCATACTTTAATATATTTACAATGTGTTTCCTATTTACCATTGCTTTCTTTTTCTTCTGAAATCAAAATTTTCAATCCACTCAAACTACAACTAGCTCTTTTCTCACACTAGTTAGTTTCTTGGGTAAGAAGACCACTTTCAACACAGACCTAGGGAGACGTATGCTAGTTTTAATGGGCCCCCTAAGAGGGTTTTTTTAAACCATGACTCCTTGTTTCGACCTAGAGTTGCTGTTGACACCAGGTGGGCTTGGAAGTTGGCCATCAATTGGCTTCCTGTAATAATGATGATGCGTTGGACTGTCTTCCAATTCACCGTTCTGTAAGACATCATTGTAAGCAGGTTCTTTTCGTTTGGGGCTGCTTTTTGAAGTAGAACGCTTGTTATGTTTCTTTCTCCGTGGACTTTGTTTTTTATTATGAGCTCCAGACACTTCCGGTGTGGGGCTCTTGGAAGTAGCCCTGACCTCTACCTCAATTGTGCTCACATTGTGCGCAGCCCCTTCCACAGGCAATGGGCTCTCGGTATATACAGGTCTCCCACTGTGCGTGTCAGCATGTCTGTCGTGGTACATGTGACTGTCTGTATATGGTGTTTGAATGACATGCTCCTGTCTATCAGCTTGCCCCTGACTACTGACATGGAACGCCTGAACGCCATTAACAGCAGGCATTTGAGGGTCCTCCTGTAAATGCGTGGCCGGGTACGAGACATAGTTCCCTTGCATATTGTAACGTCCGTTGACACCTAAATTCTCTAATGAATCTTCCATTGAACGTTCATAAGTATCCTCGACATTGTCGTAAGAAGACCCTGTCGACATATGTGATATGTGTCTCACTTCTTTGTTGGTGATTGGCGACGTTGGTCTTGATCCTGATGCAGAAGGGTAACTGGTCGGCCTTTCAGGTGGGCTCTGCTGCATTGGTAATGAAACATGTTCCATCCTCTCATCGGAGGAATCTCTATTCAAGTGTATCCGGTGCGCATCGCTCCTGCTCTCCATCGTCCCAACTGTGCTCATACTTGTCACGCTTGTCTGTGCCGAGTACCGGCCGTTTGGAGACCGCCGTGACCGTCCGTCGGTTGTCGACGACATCTGTGTGAATGAGGATATATTTGACTGAGCAACTGACATTTGAGAATTACTTTCACTGACAGAAAGCGTACATCTGGCCGGTCAGTTTTGTCTATTTGACTTTTTTCATTCTCGCTCAGCGGCTGCCGCACACCCGTAGCTTGATAATAATTAGTATGTCGTAAGAGTCCAAATGGCAGCTGTGGAAGTTCAATATTTGATTTAGGGGTTTGTGGAACGATCAATTTTGATCGTCGTAATTCAGCTATACATTCCTGAAGCGACTCAATACACTCATCGTCCCTGAACCCAAAGTCATTTGCTAGATCCTGTTGCAGAAACCACACAACTTCCTCCATATTCTTTTTCAAAATAGATCCTGAGAAAAAAAAATAAATAAATAAATTAGACTTTCAAAGAAGCATACATTCTGTAACAAATAGAGAACTCATTTGAGACGTATACTGGATGGAGCAGAATGAAGTATCAAGGCAGAGAGGCTCACAAATTACAATGTTCTTCCAATGATAAAAACAACATAGAATTGACAGACGGTGACACCA